TCAGCGCGCTCATCTGCAGGTCTTTCACGCGCCGCGTCTTGTTTTCCAGGTCTGACAACAAACAAGCAAATCAAATTAACTTTCCGTTTGCACAAAGCCGCCGCTTTATTTTCCCTTTCGAAAAAAAACACAACACTCCAAATATCCGTGATTTAAAAGCCGCGATCCCAGCGGACATCGATGGGGAGGGCGAAGCAGGAGCCGCCACAGCAGAGTACACATCAGACGGCATTTTATATATTTTGCAGAGCTCCCCCGACACTTGTGTCCGCCTTTCATTAGAGGCCGAAATCGCAGAATCCTCTCCGAGCGGGAGAAGAAATGATCAAATAGAAATGAACTTATGTCTGGGGGGCGGTAAAAAGCAGAGGCAGCAGATTTTTTTTTTTTTTTTTAACGCGATCACGAGCACTAATACAATATTCAAGAAGGCAGGCCGCGATGTGCAGCCGGCTCGCTGGATTAATGGGGATTTCAGAATTTACGGAGATTTTTATACATGCGTGTTTTCCCCCGACGCACCAACATGGATGATCAGGTCCTCCTCGCAATGTTAAACAAAAAGTTAAAAGGCGGCAACAACACCGATCGGAATTTTAAGGCCGGGAACCTCCGGCTAAAAGAAATGATTTGAAGTTTTTATGCCGGGTTTAGAATCTGCAGGGGCCAGAGGTGTAGAGCATGAAGTGTGGGGGAGGGGCATTGGGGTACAGGTCTGGCTCCTATCTACTGAAAGTCTTTTCTTCAGTCCTGAACAGGTGTACCGGCTCCTCCCCTTCAGTCTTGCACATGTGTACTGGCTCCTCCCCTCCAGTCTTGCACTGGTGTACTGGCTCCTCCCCTTCAATCTTGTACATGTGTACCGGCTCCTCCCCTTCAGTCTTGCACAGGTGTACCGGCTCCTCCCCTTCAGTCTTGCACATGTGTACCGGCTCCTCCCCTCCAGTCTCGCACAGGTGTAGCGGCTCCTCCCCTTCAGTCTTGCACTGGTGTAACGGCTCCTCCCCTTCAATCTTGTACATGTGTACCGGCTCCTCCCCTTCAATCTTGCACAGGTGTACCGGCTCCTCCCATTCAGTCTTGCACAGGTGTACCAGCTCCTCCCCTTCAGTCTTGTACAGGTGTAGTGGCTCCTCCCCTTCAGTCTTTCACAGGTTTACAGGCTCCTCCCCTTCAGTCTTGCACAGGTGTACCAGCTCTCCCCTCCCCTTGTACATGTGTACCGGCTCCTCCCCTTCAGTCTTGCATGTGTACTGGCTCCTCCCCTTCTGTCTTGTACAGGTGTACCGGCTCCTCCCCTTCTGTCTTGTACAGGTGTACCGGCTCCTCCCTTTCAGTCTTGCACAGGTGTACCGGCTCCTCCCCTTCAGTCTTGCACAGGTGTACCGGCTCCTCCCCTTCAGTCTTGCACAGGTGTACCGACTCCTCCCCTTCAGTCTTGTACATGTGTACCGGCTCCTCCCCTTCAGTCTTGCACAGGTGTACCGGCTCCTCCCCTTCAGTCTTGCACAGGTGTACCGGCTCCTCCCCTTCAGTCTTGCGCAGGTGTACCGGCTCCTCCCCTTCAGTCCTTCATAGGTGTACCGGCTCCTCCCCTTCAGTCCTTCACAGGTGTACCGGCTCCTCTCCTGGACTGAAATGGCTTCCTCTGATGTCACCGCAGAAGCTGCAGCCAGTCAGAGCTCCGCCTCATTTCCTGGCTAGAGGACTTCCAGCATCATCCAGCACTTTCTCTCCCCAGCCTGACTGTGTCCCTGGCCCCGCCCCTTTCATTCATTGAATTCCAGGTCTTTCAATCATGGAGGCTCAGCAACAAATGTGGGTGACAACAGCCTGTCTCCGTACACCCACTTCTCCAAAACGACACCCACCTATAAAGGCATTTTGATATTTGCATAACTCCTCCCAAGAGTCAGCCCACTACTTGCATCAGGACTGAGGGCATTGGAGAGTAGTACGGGGGCAGGGTGCTGTGATGTTTTCAGGAAGCTACGTACAGCCACCTGCCGGGCTCTCCCACCAGCCATGATCTACTTACACTGCATAGAGAAGCACAGAGAGCAAGTGATGATGGCACTTGACCTAGAATAAGGTATGCAATAAACAGAGTAAGGATTAAAAATATGTTATTGGCGTGTTTATGGGAGGGGGGGGGGCACCAGGGAAGGCAAAATAGAAGCACATTGAGCCGTAAGTGTGATAAGACCCTCAATGTATCACATGATGAGATGGAGATCCTTTAAATATTTCTCGCCATTTTAATGGAAGACGTTCGCTGAGATTTATTTTTTTGCTGCTTTGCTGATAACAATTGCACCCGGAGTAGCAGTTTAGGGGTCTAATTGTGGAAAGAATGGAAACACTTTTTTATTTTCATAAACTGAGGATAAAGCGAGAAAAACAGTTATGTCACATTTTATTTATATACACACTATGTTGTCAAAAGTACTGGCCCCGCCCTCCCTATCATGTGATTCAGGTGTTCCAATCCCCTTCATATCATGTGATTCAGGTGTTCCAATCCCCTCCCTATCATGTGATTCAGGTGTTCCCCTCCAAATCATGTGATTCAGGTGTTCCAATCCCCTCCATATCATGTGATTCAGGTGTTCCAATCCCCTCCATATCATGTGATTCAGGTGTTCCAATCCCCTCCATGGACACAGGTGTATACAATCAAGCCCCTAGGCATGCAGACGGCTTCTACAAACATTGGTGAAAGAATGGGTCGCTCTCAGGAGCTCAGTGACTCCAAGCGTGGTCCCGTGATAGGTGGCCACCTGGGCAATAAGTCCATCCGTGACATTTCCTGGCTACTAAATATTCCACGCTCAACTGTTAGTGGGATTATAACAAAGTGGAAGCAACTGGGAACAACAGTCACACAGCCACCAAGTGGTAGGCCACGTCACATGACAGGGCGGGGTCAGCGCATGCTGAAGCGCACAGTGCGCAGAAGTCACCAACTGTCTGCAGAGTCAATAGCTAAAGACCTCCAAACTTGGTGTGGCCTTCAGATGAGCCCAACAACAGTGTGTAGAGAGCTCCATGGAATGGGTTTCCATGGCCGAGCAGCTGCATCCAAGCCTTCCATCACCAAGTGCAATGCAAAGTGTTGGATGCCGTGGTGTAAAGCACGCCACCACTGGACTCTAAAGCAGGGGAGACGTGTTCTCTGGAATGACCAATCACACTTCTCTGTCTGGCAATCCGATGGACATGTCTGGATTTGGCAGTTGCCAGGAGAACGATACTTGCCTGACTGCATTGTTCCAAGTGTAAAGTTTGGTGGAGGGGGGATTATGGTGTGGGGTTGTTTTTCAGGGGTTGGGCTTGGCCCCCTAGTTCCAGTGAAGGGAACTCTTAAGACGACATTCTGGACAATTTCATGCTCCCAACTTTGTGGGAGGAGTTTGGGGATGGCCCCTTCCTGTTCCAACATAACTGCACACCAGTGCACAAAGCAAGGCCCATAAAGACATGGAGGAGCCAGTTTGGGGTGGAGGAACTTGACTGTCCTGCACAGAGTCCTGACCTCAACCCCATAGAACACCTTTGGGATGAATTAGAGCGGAGACTGTGAGCCAGGCCTCCTCCCCCGACATCAGTGCCTGACCTGACAAATGTGCTTCTGGAAGAATGGTCCAACCTTCCCATAGACACCCCTAAACCTAAACCTTGTGGACGGCCTGAACCCAGAAGAGTTGAAGCTGTTATAGCTGCAAAGGGCGGGGCCAACTCAATATTGAACCCTACGGACTAAGACTGGGGGGCCATTAAAGGTCATGTGCGTGGAAAGGGCGGGGCCAACTCAATATTGAACCCTACGGACTAAGACTGGGGGGCCATTAAAGGTCATGTGCGTGGAAAGGGCGGGGCCAACTCAATATTGAACCCTACGGACTAAGACTGGGAGGCCATTAAAGGTCATGTGCGTGGAAAGGGCGGGGCCAACTCAATATTGAACCCTAGGGACTAAGACTGGGAGGCTATTAAAGGTCATGTGCGTGGAAAGGGCGGGGCCAACTCAATATTGAACCCTATGGACTAAGACTGGGAGGCTATTAAAGGTCATGTGTGTGGAAAGGGCGGGGCCAACTCAATATTGAACCCTACGGACTAAGACTGGGAGGCCATTGAAGGTCATGTGTGTAGAAAGGCTGGCGGCACAATATATATATTGGACTAAGTCAACCGCTGACTTCTTTTAAATCTTGGATACTCTGACAGTGTGATCTTCCTGCCATAATTCCCAGCTCTGGTCCTATCCAGTTGGAGCATTTGGTTGTTCCCTCCAACCTTATGTGTTCTAGGTCCTACTGTTACATTTTCTATATTCTATAAAATAAAATGGAAATATCCAGCAGGGATGGTGGGAACCCCTCATAATGGGCACAAAGGGTGTACAGACCCAGGAACTCAGGTGAGGTCCCTGGTCTGTACCCCTGCTGTGCCCATGATGAGGGGTTCCCACCATCCCTGTGCTGAGTTCCTGGGTCTGTACGCCTGCTGTGCCCATTATGAGGGGTTCCAACCATCCCTGCTGCATTTTTAATGTAATGTGTGTATCAGAAGGATCTGGAGCCTAGAAGATGGGCAGGAACAGACCCAGACCTTATGGGAGGAGTATCCAAGACTCATAGGAAGGTGGGGGGTGAGCTCCCTCTGTAGGTAGTTTTTTGAGTAAATCCTTGAACAGATTCATAATGCATTCTGCTGAAAACTGTAAATCATTCCCTCCTAGAGCTAGGAGCCGCAGCTGTGTGGAGGTACAACTGCAAGACTGAAGGGGAGGAGCCTGTGCAGCTGTGCAAGACTGGAGGGGAGGAGTGCAACCTGTGCAACTGTGCAAGACTGAAGGGGAGGAGCTGTTACAGTGGGAGGGGAGGAGCTGTGCAACTGTGTGCAAGACTGGAGGGGAGGAGCCCTGTACAACTGTGCAAGACTGGAGGGGAGGAGCCGGTAAGACTGAAGGGGAGGAGCCGGTACAATACAAAGACTGCGGAAGGGGAGGAGCCTGCAACTGTGCAAAACTGGAGGGGAGGAGCCTGTGCAACTGTGCAAGTGCAAGACTGGAGGGGAGGAGCCGGTACACCTGTGCAAGACCGAAGGGGAGGAGCCTGTGCAACTCTGCAAGACTGGAGGGGAGGAGCCGGTACACCTGTGCAAGACCGGAGGGGAGGAGGTGGAGTGCAAGACCCGGTAATACAACAAGACTGTGAGGAGGAGCCAATACTGTGCAAGACTGGGGAGGAGTTGGTACACCTGTGCAAGACTGAAGGGGAGGAGCCGGTACACCTGTGCAAGACTGGAGGGGAGGAGCCGGTACACCCTGTGCAAGACCGAAGGGGAGGAGCCTGTGCAACTCTGCAAGACTTGAGGGGAGGAGCCGGTACACCTGTGCAAGACCGGAGGGGAGGAGCCTGTGGAACTGTGCAAGACTGGAGGGGAGGAGCCGGTACAACTGTGCAAGACTGAAGAGGAGGAGCCAATACAACTGTGCAAGACTGAAGGGGAGGTGTTGGTACACCTGTGCAAGACTGAAGGGAGAAGCCGGTACAAGACCTGTGGAACTGCAAGACTGAAGGGGAGGAGCCGGTACACCTGTGCAAGACTGAAGGGGAGGAGCCAGTACACCTGTGCAAGACTGGAGGGGAGGAGCTGGTACACCTAGGCAAGATTGAAGAGGAGGAGCCAGTACACCTGTGCAAGACTGGTACACCTAGGAGGGGAGGAGCCAGTACACATGTGCAAGATGGAAGGGGAGGAGCCTGTACACCTGTGCAAGGCTGAAGGGGAGGAGCCGGTACACCTGTGCAAGACTGAAGGGGAGGAGCCGGTACACCTGTACAAGACTGGAGGGGAGGCCGGAGGTCAGATTTTAGGTGTCTTTAGCAACCAACACTAGAGGATGTATTGATCTCCTGGTCCCTGCTGGGCTCAGTGGTTCTTCTTGCTGACATCCATGTCACTGGTTACTGTTAACCAAATCCAGGATTACAGGGATCCGTTGCTGGAAGTACTCACCTACCAGCATACTCCCCTATGGCATAGGAAGGTGATATATATCATCACTTAATAATCCGTACATTATGCACACAGGAGTTCCTGGCCACCTACCTTGCATATGCAGGTTGTACATGGCGTCCCAGACATCGTCCATACAGATCCACTGAGTCTCGTGACCCCCTGACTGTCCTGGCAGGTTTTCTGAATATCGTAAATGATGTTATCTGCTGCGCAGGGGTCGTCCACGCAGTGCGGGCAACATTCGCCGTCTGTAACGGCCGTGTACTCACAGCTCAGCGCTGGGCAGCTTAATGGCCAACAGTCCACCTCTCCAGCCTGAGCGGAACAGATGAGAAATAGGGTAGAATTAACAGGACAGTTTAGTTGTAATTTATTTATTATTATTATTATACAGGATTTATGGCGCCAACAGTTTGCTCAGCGCTTTACAATATGGAGGGAGACAATACAGCAACAATACAGTTCAATACAAGAGGGTTAGGAGGGCCCTGATCCTGGGAGCTTACAATCTAGGAGGGGGGGATAGTGGTACAGGAGGTAATACCTGGGGGGGATGGAGTGGTTGGAAGAGTAGAGGATTCCAGTATTAGTTGGGATCGGGGTAAATTTCCCTGAAGAGATGGATTTTCAGAGTGCACCTAAAAGTGAGCAGAGTAGGTGATAGTCTGATGGATTGGGGTAGGGAGTTCCAGAGGATGGGGGAAGCCCTGGAGCAGTCCTGGAGACGAGCATGGGAGGAGGAGACAAGGGAGCTAGAGAGTAGGAGGTCTTGGGAGGAGCGGAGAGGACGGTTTTGGTGATATTTGGAGACAAGATTGGTGATGTAATTTGGGGCAGTATTATGAACGGCTTTATATGTCAGTGTTAGCGTTTTGAATTTTATCCATTGGGCAATTGGAAGCCAGTGGAGGGATTGGCAGAGGGGGGTGGAGGACACTGGAGGCCAGTGGAGGGATTGGCAGAGAGGGGTGGAGGACACTGAGTGGAGGCCAGTGGAGGGATTGGCAGAGGGGGGTGGAGGACACTGAGTGGAAGCAAGTGGAGGGATTGGCAGAGGGGGGTGGAGGACACTGAGTGGAGGCCAATTGAGGGATTGGCAGAGAGGGGTGGAGGACACTGAGTGGAGGCCAGTGAAGGGATTGGCAGAGAGGGGTGGAGGACACTGAGTGGAGGCCAGTGGAGGGATTGGCAGAGAGGGATGGAGGACACTGAGTGGAGGCCAGTGGAGGGATTGGCAGAGAGGGATGGAGGACACTGAGTGGAGGCCAGTGGAGGGATTGGCAGAGAGGGATGGAGGACACTGAGTGGAGGCCAGTGGAGGGATTGGCAGAGAGGGTTTCTGAGGTTAGGAACAGGCGTATCTTGGAGATGTTGCAGAGGTGGAGTCTACATGATTTTGGCAGCGATTGGACCTGGGGCTGAAAGGACAGATTGGAGTCTAGGATGACACCTAGTACCCTGGCTTGAGGGTGGGACTCATGATAGTGTGGTTGGTAATTTAGTTTTTTTATTATATATATATAGTGAAAAAATCAGTTACTTTGTATCATTTTAAAATGTGTATATTGGGACAGCCAGTTTTGTTTATTACATACTCAGTTGCTGCTTCCTACTTTGCAGCACTACACAATGGCTTTGCTGTACTGCTTCCTCCTACAATGAAAGTCTTGAGTCGGCCAACTCATTAAAGTCCATGCACTCCCTGTGTGGCTGGTATCTTTCTTTAGCAGTTAAGAGAGAGACTAATTGCACTGAATAGGCAAACAAAGGGCGCCAAGGCCTAGTGCAATACTGCTGTAATTTATTGAATATAAAAACAAGTGAGTACATACTCAGAAAAGCCAAGGAATGAAAGTATAATACAAAACCCAAAAACCACAATGGTGGTCCAAACAACTGAACTTGAAGGTTCCTCACATGAATCAGACAACTGCTGATGCGTTTCGAGGGGCGTTTTGCTCTGAAGAAGAGGCCATGCCCCTTCGAAACGCATCAACAGTAGTCTGACTCATGTGGGACTCTGTGAGGTCCGTTGACATGTTTCGAGTGGCACACCCTCTTTTGCACTGAAGAACGTAAGCCCCTCGCAATATGCCAGAGGTAGTCTAATTCATATGTAGAAAATGTATATTATATATGGCGAGCTTGTTGGAGCCCAACCTCTGTAGCTGCAGGATAAAGGTGCCAGATGGATATCAGGGATGGATGGATATCAGGGATGGATGGATGGGAGCAGTAACACTGAGGCAGCTCTTCTGGAAGCAAGGCTCTAATGCAGCAACAAGAAAAAGATAGGAATGCGCCTCTAAGTGCCGTATTGACAATTTATTTAGTAAACAATGGAAAAATTGCACTTACAAGATAAATGGTTAAAAGACTCATCGTGTGGTAATTAGATCCAGGTGGGACATCCAGCCGTCCAGCAGCAAACTGTCTATAGGATCAGGAAGTAGAGTCCGGGATGTGCCTGTGCATCAAAATGAAGCTTGGAGAGCAGAGTCAGATGTAGGAGGTGAAGGGGGCGGTAATGCATTTTGGAGAATGCTCAATAGGCTCCTTCTTCAGACCTCCTATCTTCATTTTTGATGCACAGACACATCCTGGACTCTACTTCCTGATCCTATAGACAGTTTGCTGCTGGATGTCCCACCTGGATCTAATTACCACACGATGAGTCTTTTTAACTATTTATCTTGTAAGTGCAATTTATCCATTGTTTACTAAATAAATTGTCAATACTGCACTTAGAGGCGCCTTCCTCTCCTTTTCTAATTCATATGTAGACCCTGTGAGTTCCGTTGAAATGTTTTGAAGGGTATAGCCTCTTTGGCTCTGAAGAAGAAGGTATTCCCCCTCGAGATGCATCAACGGTAGTCTGATTCATGTGAGGACCCTGTGAGTTCTGTTGACGTGTTTCGAGGGGCACATCCTCTTTTGCTCTGAAGAGGGTATGCCCCTCGAAACTCACCAGAGCCAATCTAATTCATTTGAGGACCCTGTGAGTTCTATTGACGTGTTTCGAATGGCATACCCTCTTTTGCTCTGAAGAAGGTATGCCCCACAAAATGCACCAGAGGGAGTCAAATTCATATGAAGACCCTGTGAGTTCCATTGAGGTGTTTCAAGGGGCATACCCTGAAGAAAAGGGTATGCCCCTCAAAATGCATCAGCAGTAGTCTTATTCATATGAGGACCCTGTGAGTTCTATTTTTTTTGGATCACCATTGTGGTTTTTCCTACACTTTTATTCCTTGGCTTTTGTATGTACTGTGATTCATGTGGGACTCTGTGAGGTCCATTGACATGTTTTGAGGGGCACACCCTCTTTTGCACTGAAAAACATAAGCTCCTCGTAATATGCCAGAGGTAGTCTAGTTCATATGTAGACCCTGTGAGTTCCGTTGAAATGTTTTGAAGGGCATAGCCTCTTTTGCTCTGAAGAAGAAGGTATTCCCCCTCGAGATGCATCAACGGTAGTCTGATTCATGTGAGGACCCTGTGAGTTCTGTTGATGTGTTTCGAGGGGCACATCCTCTTTTGCTCTGAAGAGGGTATGCCCCTCGAAACTCACCAGAGCCATGTGAGGACCCTGTGAGTTACATTGAAGTGTTTTGAGGGGCATACCCTCTTTTTTGCTATGAAGCACGAAACACGCCAGAGGTAGTCTAATTCATATAATGACCCTGTAAGTTCCATTGAAGTGTTTCGAGGGTCATACCCCCCGTTGCTCTGAAGAAGAGGTCATGCCCTTTAAAACATGTCGACAGTAGTCTGATTCATGTGAGGCCTCTGTGAGTTCTATTGACGTGTTTCGAGGGGCATACCCTCTTTTGCTCTGAAGAAGGTATGCCCCTCAAAATGCACCAGAGGGAGTCAAATTCATATGAAGACACTGTGAGTTCCGTTGAAGTGTTTCGAGGGGCATACCCTCTTTTACTCTGAAGAAGGTATGCCCCTCAAAATGCACCAGAGGGAGTCAAATTCATATGAAGACCCTGTGAGTTCCGTTGAAGTGTTTCGAGGGGCATACCCTCTTTTGCTCTGAAGAAGGTATGCCCCTCAAAATGCACCAGAGGGAGTCAAATTCATATGAAGACACTGTGAGTTCCGTTGAAGTGTTTCGAGGGGCATACCCTCTTTTGCTCTGAAGAAGGTATGCCCCTCAAAATGCACCAGAGGGAGTCAAATTCATATGAAGACACTGTGAGTTCCGTTGAAGTGTTTCGAGGGGCATACCCTCTTTTGCTCTGAAGAAGGTATGCCCCTCAAAATGCACGAGAGGGAGTCGAATTCATATGAAGACCCTGTGAGTTCCGTTGAAGTGTTTCAAGGGGCATACCCTGCTTTGCTCTGAAGAAAAGGGTATGGCCCTCAAAACTCATCAGTGGTAGTAATATTCATGTGAGGACCCTGTGAGTTCTATTTTTTTGGATCATCCTTGTGGTTTCCAGTTTTTTGTCCTACACTTTTATTCCTTGGCTTTTGTATGTACTCACTTGTTTTTATATGTAATAAATTATGACGGCAATGCACTAGGCCTTTGCCCCTTTATGTTTTTAAAATTCCCCAATCTCAGGAGGTGTCAGGGTTCTGTCCACAGCAGAAGTCCTGGAAGATCTGGCATTTCTGCCAGTACTCTGCATGGCCGCAGAAGTACACATCAGCCTCAGTTTGTTGCCAGGCGGCCTTTATAAGGAGGCTCATCACTTCCTCAAGTTGCTGGATGATCTCTAGCTCCCCATACCCTGTTCCTGGTTCCTGTGACTCTGACCTGTGATTTCCTGATACCGACTCGGCTTGCTCCTGGACCTGTCTACTCTGCGTTACCCCTGATCTG